AAAAAAAAAAAAAAAAAACCACAAAGGGAAAAAACCCCCTCTCCAGCTCTAAAACAGTATTCTTCTTCCCAGCGAGATGAAAAAAGCATTCAAAACCACACAAGGCACAAGGAGTTTTGAGAGTAGGTGCATCACCATATAATACTTGTCTATTGCTCATGAAGAACAGATGTACCAAAATACCACTCTGCATGACATTTTCAGGCAATTAAGCAACTTCCAAGCCTCAGCTGTGTCATCAGGATGTAAAATATCTAGTATTAATATTAACAAAAGGACAAAGATTAATAGATCCAAAACAGGTGCGGGCTATGGTAGAAATACCTTGACCAGCAACCAAGAAAACAATTGTAAGGAATATTTTAGGTACAGTAGGATACTGAAAAACCCAAATACCAGGTCTAGGGGACTTAAATAAACCATTGAAAGAAGTTACCAAGGCAGAGGAAGTAGAGTCCAGAGAAAGAAAAGATTTTCCAAGCTATAAAAGGAACATTTGTTCTGGGTCACCTGACAACTGTGTGTGCACCATATGAAGTGGAGTTGATTCTTAAATGATATTCTACACAATCAAGAAAACCATTGTTCTGAATTCCAAATCATTAATTCACCTACTATTACTCTGAAAAGATGTGATGTTTTGAATTCAGCGACTTCACTGTTTGTTCCTTCCAACAGTGAGCCACGTCATGGTTGTTGTGAGGAGGTGTTTCTCTCCAGCCAGCTATGGGAAGATCTGCAAAATCAGCCTCTAGAGATCCCAGATCTAATCCTCTTCACCAATACATCTTCATACCACATAAAAAGAGAACAACACATGGGTTATGCAGTGGTGAGACACTGTGAGGTGCTTGAAACAGAACCTCTACAACCCTCGGTGACTGCCCAAGAGGCCAAATTAATTGAATTAGCAAGAAAACAGCCTGGTGGGAACGTGATCAGCAAGTGACTATTTATACTGATTCTAAATATGCTTTTGGAGTGTGTCATGCAATGGGTATGCTATGGAAAGAATGAGAGTCCCTTACTTCAGCAGAAAATAATATTTCTAATGGATCTGAAATCCAAATGCTCTTGGTAGCCATTAGGCTTTCAAGGGAAATTCCTGTAGCACACTGTCCAGCTCATAAAAAAGGCTTCAACTGAATGCAACAAAAAACCCCAAATCAAAACAAAAAGAATTACTCAGACCTGTAGTCAGACAGAATTATAATGGCCTCGAATAGGAATAGCACTTTAGGATATTATGCAATGTTGGGAAATACCCCTTGCCAGCATCTAGGGTTGTCATCAATAGGAAGAGTGAATGGGAAGGGTCATAAACTGTCCTACTATGTACTTGTTTTGCTGTTAAAGCTTTAGGATATTATGCCTATTGCTTGTAATAACACTGGATTGTAGTCAAATGCCTTGAAAGACTTCATGAGTTCTTTTTGACATAACAGCAAGAAAGCTTAAAAACAAAGGGAGAACTGCTGTAAATTAAGTTTAGTTAGCTGAACTCTTTTAACTGGATTCTCTTGCCAAGTAGTTTTGCTTACTAAAAGCAGCTGCAGCTTTAGGCAGCAAGCTGCAAACTTTCACCTTGAAATGGTGAACTAGTCTTGTGCTATTGTTTAGCTACAATAAAGGGAGGCTCTGAGACCAGTGCAAACCAAAAGATTAAGAAGCCCTGACTATCAGCAAAAGCTGCAACCCATCCAGACAAAAACAGCTACAGAGAAAGAATGTGATAAGGAACAAGAACATTCCAGAACAAAAAAATCCCCATTGGAGTCAGAGATGCATGTGAGGTGTGTGAAGTGTGTGAAGCACAGGTGCATGGGTTGTAATGGTATAAAATCCCAGGGATTTCTTTGTTCTGGTTCCCTCTTGGGAAGCACCTAGCTGGACCTGTACCAAGTGCAGTACCATTCAATTACTAATATTTCCCCCTAGAAATTGGATGTCAGACTCAGCTGTGGGAAACAGTAAAGAAGGTAAAGAAATTTATTTAACAACTTAATCTTCCTTTACAACAAAGCTGCATAACTGGAAGTAGTAAAAGGCAGTTCACAATCTCAGGGATTTACTCTGCTATACTTCAGAGTGTGGCAGATTTAAGACTCCACTTACTTTCTCCCCTTTGAATGTGTGTGTCCACATGATTTTATTACCAAACTTCAATTAATTTTGTGAACTGAAGCGTAGCTAATTACATGACATGCAAAATAATAACAGAATGTCCCAAAATAACAAAAAAAGGCTTCAGCTACTCCATGCAACACACCCAAGAAAGTCACATGGAGCTAGACTTTATTCTGTGGTCTTCTCTTTTCATGTGTGCCAGTACTCACTGAATTACAGAATTGCCTACTACAGCTTTCCTCTAGAAAATCCTTATGACACTGTAGCTGAAAGAATGCTATCAAGATAAACTATTTAAAAATAAAAAAACTGCAGCCAGCCTAAGACAAAACTCCTCAGAAACTTCCCATGCCATATTAGCTAAAAATTCAAACACATAGTATTCAGAGGGACTATATATAAATGGTACCAAAGCCATCAAACATACACAAAATAAGAAAACCTGTCAGAGGTATTAGCAACAAAGGTTTAGAGATTTCAAAAGAACAGAGCTTATTACTGCATGATCAACAAATTCAATTTGCCTGGACTGGTAAAGAATGCAAGCTCTGCAATTGGGCCTTTTGAATAAAGAGCTGGCAAATGCAGTTTGGTCACTGTGGTAAGAATGAACTGAGTTAACATTAAGAGGTGCAATTAGAAGAGTTGTAATACCTACAAGCAGTCTTTACCCAAATCCTAATATAGTCTGAAAAAAAATAAATCACAAAACAGTCAGTAAAAGACAAAAAAATACATCATTAAGGTCAAAAGTGTAGGTTTTGGTAGGCCATGAAATAGGATTCCAGTTTCTCCTTAAAAAAGAAAGATTAAAAAGTTGTCTCCTTACAGTTGTGTCAATTCATACAGTAAATAGCTGGATTCTAAAAGTCAAACTATTGCATTACCTGGCAAAGTCCTCTGAAGAGGTTGCTTCAAATTGAAATTATCTCCAGAAATTCTGTAAAAACTCCTCTGAAAAAGGCAGTGAAGAACTACATAAACAAAATGTCAACTTACAGAACTCTGTGAGTAAACCTTCCACTTTAACTTCAAAATATAACACCACAAAAAAGTCTCTCCAACTACTGTAAAACTTTCTATATTACAAGACAGATGACTAGGTTTGCTTTGAGTCTTTCTAACTTTTGTTCTGATTTAATATGCTCGAGAAATAATACAGTAATAAAACAAAAATCATGAAACTTTTAACAATACTTTTTGTAACCCAAGCAAGCAAACACTTGAGAAAAGACTGGAAGGGCTGTGTCTCTTCTCCCTGGAGAAGGCTTGGTAGAAGCCACAACACAGCATCCCAGCACTGGAAAGGCTACAAGGAGGATTAAGGCTCTCTCTTCACAAGGAGCCACATGGAGATAAGGGGCAAGAGTGGGGATAAGCTGCATGAGGAGGGATTTTTTTTACTTCAACCAAAGCAGCACCAGAATCTGATTCAGCTGTTAAGGTGGGTCAGGATGCTATTTTATGGTGTTTAATTCCTAATCAATGAAATTAAGTTAGTTATGCCCAAAATAAGGAGGAAAAAAAAATCAGTAAGAAAGTCTGGAAACAAAGTCTTAAAATACAGTTTGGTGTGGAGTTTTTTGGTTTTGTTTGTTGTTTTTGTGGGTTTTTTTTTAATAATAGCAATTAGTTTCACCATTTAGTAATTTTAATCAATATTATTTATTTCCCCAAGCAGAAGTGCACTCTTCTAGCAATGTGTCCATCATTAGAAGTTTTATGCCAAACTCAACTAGTTCGAGGACTTTCCCAAGAAGTTACTCATTCTCAACCATTAAGCCGATACTCCTCTGACCCTTTTATAGAATCCAGAAGCTTTCCAGTTGAACCCTGTGTAAAAAATCAACTTTTTATGGCCCAAATAAAAAGCTGACCCCCCACCTTACTGAAGATTTTTCGCCCAACACACCATTCACTTTATATTTGTCAGCTACACCATCACTATGTAGTTGCCCTAATCCACAAAGTGATCCCTGCCCTACAGAGCAGACTTGCTAAGACAGCACATCCAAAAAAAGAACACACAGTTAAGACCAAGTCTTGACTATCTACCCTGGTTTAGCATCCTGAGCAGTCCTTATTTCTTAACACACCCAAGGCACACATAAAATCCAGGATAGCCATTTTATTTAAAAAAGAAAGTGCATTTTTCAGAAATAACTCTTCTTAAAACAAATGTTCATTCCCTTTACCTAAGGATACTATAGCCAGCAGCCTTTTCTCCATTTTAAATTAGCAGGAAACGAGGTGCACATGTCTGATGTCTCTGTATGAGAAAATGTGTTCCTTAACACGAAGGTTAAGAATAGTCAAAGATACTCCACAGTGCCACTGTGTATTACCACAGAATTAAGACACTGTCTACAGACAAGCAGGAGGTAAAGGATGGTCTTCACATACTACCATGCTCCTAGTAGGTCACTGATAACCACCAGTCCTTGTTCAAGAACATTTTCATCAAAACTTGAGACTCTGCTGTTCACTGAACAGGCTCCTACACCTTCTGATGATAACCACAGCAAAGTATCTTTTAAATAAAATAAGCTGTTACTACTGTAAGTATTGGTCTTACAGGCAGCAATCTCCGACAAAGTCACATAACCACAGAGGAACCTCAAAAAGATGAGTTTCACATAACTGTCCAAAGGGACAGTGACAATTTTTTGATATCATCCTAAGATGTTCATTAACCAGAACATGGAAAGCTCTGCTCGACTAACTGCTGTGGGGAACAGTGTAACAACTGAGCCTAAGCAAGTGAATTGACAGCACCAATTACAAGTTGATGGAGAAACGACACGGAATCAAAGGTCTTTTTCTAGGACATTAAAACACACAGTTCAATTATAGTGAATTTAAAGGAAGTCTTTACTACAGGAAGAAAATATCTTAATAATAGATTATGTGTTAAGCTTCATTGCTTGCTACACGAGAACAGGAACTTTAGAGGGTGAAACCAGAATCTTCAGTGCAGAGATTCTCTATATTTGGAAACAATCAGCCAGCCCTTGGATACTTTAGATACTGAATCCAACAACCTGCAGCTCAGTACCAGTAGTAGTAGTAACAATCAGACTCACAAAGACACCTCCAAATGCACGGAGGTACAGCGCAGCAAAGCCTTCAGCTGCAAAGAGGACTGTGCCAGACTTCTTGGTACAAAAGCTGACCAACCCCCTATTTCACCAACCAATATCATGCATCAGAACCTATCAACTGACATACAACCTCGGCCATCACTGAACACCGTGATGAAGAATTCACCCGGGAAATAAGGCTGGCACATCAATGCAAGATTCAGGTAAAATAAGCACAGATCCCTGGAGACGTTAGAACCCTGAAGACGCTGAAATGCCAAAAAACCTACAGGTACTGAGTAAATAAGCCCTAAAGCAACAAACACTTAAGGATAACGTCCAGGGCGATGAAAGACATCAACAGGGCTGCTAAACCAGCATGAAAGCTACAGACGCTGCAGGGGAGGAGTTAATGCTCTTGCTCTTGTCTCTTAGGGGCTATCGCTGAAGTTTTCATTTACACCTCCAAAGGCTGGGAGCACGGCCACCCGGCTTAACGCTACTACTGCCCTGTCCACGGAGACTTCCAGGTGTGCCTTCACCACGGCAAACAAGGGTTTTCTCAGCCCTGCCGTGACCCCGCTGCTCCGGGCACCGCTCCCCCGTCCCCCGGGCAGCCCGTGCCTCCCGCCCCGCCGTACCTGTCAGCGGCGGCTCGGCGGCGGCCGCGGAGCCCCCCGGCTGCCTGCGCTCCTTCTGGCTCTCCCTCCTGCCGCCGGGCACGGCTCTGCCGCCGGGCACGGCTCTGCCGCCGGGCACGGCTCTGCCCGCCGCCGCCTCGTCGCGCTTCTTGCGCTGCTGCTGGCGGCGCTCGGCCTCGCGCAGGATGTCGAAGGGGTCCGAGTCGTCGTCCAGGAGCTGGTAGAAGCGATTGGCGACGGTGCAGCCGAAGCTCTCCTGCGTGACGGCGGCCACCGCGCTGCCCACCGCCCCCTTCATCGTGCGCAGCGGTGCCTCTCCCGCCCCGGCAGCCGCCACCGCCGAGGCTGCCGCGGGGCCGGAGCCGCGGGCGCGACGTGCGAAAGATGCAGAGGCGGAGGCGGAGCGCTCACCGCGGCCCGGCCCGGCCGAGCCCTGCTCAGCCCGGCCCACAGGGCCCCGCCCGCCCCGCCCGCCAGCCAATGGGGGCGCGAGGCCCCGCGGGCCCCGCCCATAACCACGGCCGGCCCCGCCCACCGCCGGCGCGCGCGGCCAATGGGAAAACAGAGCGGCCAACACCGCCCTGGGCCCCGCCCCCAACGCCGCGCTGCGGCCAATCAACGCGCGGCACCGGTGCCGTCAATCACGGCTCCTGACCAATGCGGTGCCGCGCTCGGTTATTCACGAGGTGTCACTCGCACCCCGCCCCGCGGGAAGGCGCGCGCGGCGCCGGGACACGGAGAGCGGGAACGTCGCGTGTGAGGGAGGCACTGGGCATTCCTGCCTGAACTGGAGGATATACAATCTTGGGACTTTTTTAACCACTCGTGGGATCCAGAGAAGGACTGTGACCACCGCTCTTGACCAGACTGCACCAGCACTCTCACCAACAGGTTTTCCCCTCTCCTTTTACTTTGGACTCAGGAGGGCCCAAAGAACATCACTCTGTTCATGCCCCAAGGTGCTGGGTTATACATTTGGGTTTTGTGGGTTAAAACCAATTGTTTGTCTGTATAATTGTATTTATTGTATCATTTTATTAAATTGTTATTCTGACTTATAATCTCTCTCTTGACTTGGGTTCATTTCCCCTGCCGGTTTACCTTTAAACCAGCACACCATCATATACATTTTCCAGCAATGCAATTCTACTGAACAAAATTAACCACATGAAGCCTTAATCCGAACAGTAACAAGCTACCTCAGCAGAGATGGACATGCTGATAGCAAGCACTTGTTGAGGAGCACACCTGGTGCCAGCAGCTCTGCATGTGAGCTGGGCATTGTGCCCTGGCTGGAGCCCCAGGAAAGGTGGCCAGTCACCCAGAGACCCTGCAGGACCCAACCAGCAACGAGAAGACCCCAGGTGTTGATATACTGATTTGACAGAAAGAAAAACTTGGAAGATGTAATAAAAAAGACTCAGATAAAAGATACTATGACTAATGATAAGTTACTACATAAGTCCATAACATACAATTAAGTCACATGCAGTGTGGTTAAGTATTTGCTATTATCTATCTAAAGGCCATCACCTTCTCAAAGTTTTCTGAATTTTGAAATATCACTAGAAATGGTTGAAGCATGCTTTAGAGAGGCAAAGTACCTCTTTTCGTTTTCATCTGTCATGTGTTTGTGTTCTGTTTCAGAGAGTCAGTTGTTCTTTTTATTTCAGGGTTTATTATCCCAAAACTCCATAGTCATCAGGTCCTTCTTGAGTCTTAACTAGCTGGATAGAACACAGGAACTTTTTCCCTGCTTTCTCTTGAACCCTTGCTCTCTATCCTTTTACAATTTCTGTATTATGTCACTGTGATAAAAGGTAAACTTTGTTGTAGTAAGTAGGATTTGATCTGACTGCAGGTTGTATCATGTTTAATTATCTCAGTCCTTCACCTCTCAGAGAGAACTTTCTCTTTCTTCTACACTAAAATATTAATGCTTTAATACATTAAGCCAGTAGCATAGCATCGAAGTATTATAAAGAACAAACATATTTAATATTGCTAAGACACTATAGCTCAGATGATTCTTTAGAACTTTTTTTACATAATGTTACATGAACTGTTACTTTAATGCCCTGCGTAGTGACAAGCAGTGTGTTTTATGCCCTTTAAGCCACACACATTCTGTGTGCATGTTTCCTCTTCCAGTAGCAGGATCTGGACAGCGAGTTCACTTCTCTCTGATTGATTATTGTTATTACTACATGAAACACTATTGTTCAAAACAGTTAAAATATCACAAGTGGCATCAACTCACTTCTTCCCTCTATTGTGTTTCCTCCATGAACAAAGTTCTATTAGTTGGAATTAGAAAAATTTACAAGATCCATGTAAAGACGTTAATCTTCTGCCAAGCCCTTGAATATCATCACAAAGAACAGTGGGGTGGAACAGGTTAAACATGGAGATATTCAGTTGCTCACAATGCACTTCACCATTTCCAGTGTCTACAGTTCGGTGGACCAGCTCATAACATTAATTCCATCTGTCCATCTGAGTTCTTCAGCAGCTACATGCACTGTTGAAACATCAGGCAGGTAATTTTGGAAAATTATGAAGGGTATTTGCAGTTTGGTTTTTGGGATGGAATTATTTTAACATGAGTCATTCTTCCCCCCAGTAGATTTAACATATCTTTCTGTATTACCAACATTGTTATCTTACCAGAACTGTTCACAGTGAGTTATTTTCAGGGCTGAAGGTTTTTAAGGGGTTCAGATCCAAGCATATGGAAACCAGTTTCCTCATTCTGGAAACAAGTGTTGCAAGCTGCAGCATTTTCTTTCTGGCCTGGTAATCATGGCCTGAGCTAGCACAGTAGTGGTAGGACTTCAACAAGTAACACTGACTGTGAGAAGCTGGAGTATCGTTACTATGAACAAGAATTTGACTAGGCAAACATCTGAGTTAGTTTAAAAGGACAGTTGTGACAAACCAAACTGTAATTCATAATGAAAGGGCTGCCCATCTCAGGGTGGATAGTTAATACTGTAGTCCATTTCTACAGCCTTTCTGTGCTCAAAGAACTGGTGTAGTCATACGGTGCAAAATTGGTCTCCCCTGCACTTTCCTGTTCCTGTCAGCAGTGGTGGTTGTGCCAACACTCCCAGAAACAGTGGCCTGCAGCATACAGACTGTGGTGAACATAACTGAGCAGGGGAAAAATCTCACCATTTTTACAGCTCTGTGGCTTGTCTGTGCTCCTGATATTGGCCTCAAAATTTAGCTATTCATGTAAGAAACAAGATTTAATTCTTTCTCAGGCCATAACTGGTCAGTAAGACTCACTGCAATGGTAAGACACTGAGGCAAAGGGAGCATGTTGATGTAACACTACTAGTCAACTTCAGCATAAGAGGCCCACATCAAATGCCATTAATGTGCTTCTGCTTTAGAACAGCGAGTTCTATTGCTTAAAAAAAAAAAAAAAAAAAAAAAAAAAAAAAAAAAAAAAAAAAAAAAAAAAAAAAAAAACAAAAAAAACCAAAAAAAAAAAAAAAAAGAACTGCTGTCTCTGATACAGCTAAATTCTTTTCGGTTTCAAGTAACCAGAGTTCCAAAGGATTCATAAAGCAGGCAAGGTGGCTGCTTGCAGATTTAAAAACTGAACCTATGTTTTCACCAGCTAAAGCTGGACCAGTGTCACTGTATTTCCAAATCATTCCTAAGTAACACCAGTTCTTCCATACATCGAGCACACAGCTCTCACACAGGTGAGTTAAAGTTGACACAGAACAGGCTGTGGGAGCCTTGCACTCAAGCAGACCTGCAGCCTCCCTGTTTGGGGTAACAGGCTGCACAATTAGACTGGGTCTCGGTTTCAAAGGGCACTGGCTGGAAGACTAGATTTAAGATGCCATTTTAGTTAATCACAGTGTATAAATGCCTGAACAGCTATAATAGATTGGGAGGGGAAAAAAAATTAGAAAACCAAAACGAAACAGCCAAAGACCTCCTCCCCTCAAACATAAATATACTAAAACTAGTGATCTGCACAAACTTCACAGAGTTACAGAATAATTAGGGTTGGAAGGGACCTCTGGAGAGCATCTACTCCAAGCCCCCTGTCGAGGCAGGGTCACCCAGAGCAGGTTAAATAGGAAAGCATCCACGTGTGTTTGGAACGTCTCCAGAGAAGGAGAATCCACGACCTCCCCGGGCAGCCTGTTCCAGCGCTCTGCCACCCTCAGTGGAAAGAGGTTCTTCTTCATGCTGAGGTGGAAGTTCTTACGTTTTAGTTTATGGCCACTGCTCCTCGTCCTGTCGCTGAGCACCACTGAAAGGAGTCTGGCACCACCCTCTTTAAACGCCACCTGCGTTTAAGAACCTGCCCGTGCAGACGCCTCCTGCCCACTTACAGTCCCGGGGCCGCTGTCTGCAGCTATACACCCGCGGGTGCCTCCCGGCCGCGGGCAGCGCGGCTGGAAGGGGCGTCTCCCCGCCAGCGCCATAACGGTCGCGCCGCCCCGACAGCGCCCGCGCTCGCGGGGCGCCCTGCCCGCCGGCGAGGCGGCGGGGACGGGGACAGGGGCACAGCAGGGCCTGCCGACCGCCGGAGCCCGTGCCCCCCCGGCCGGGCGGCGCCGCCGTGTCCGCGGCCCCTTTAAGGCGCTGGGCGCGCCAAGACCCCCGCGCGCCTGGGATCGGCCCCGCCCACGGACAGAGCGCGCCAAGCCTGCCCGCGCGCGCCGGCCCCGCCCCCCGCCGCACCGGGCCAATCAGCGCCTCTCGTGGGGCCGCCTGCCCAATGGGATGGCAGCAGTCGCCGAGCCGCGCTCTCGGGACCCGCCTTCCGGGGCGGGGCCGCCGGCTTCCTCGACTCACGATTGGCCGGCGGGAGCGCGCGCCCCGTGACGCTCGCGCGCGGTGATTGGCTGCGCTCGGGCGCGAAACGTAACGCGGGAAAAGCGGCGGGTCGGCCAGGGCGGCGGTGGCGGCTCCTCCGGGCGCGGCGGCTCCGGTAGCGCTTCGGAAAGGTGCGGACGCGCTGCCACCGCTTCGGCCCCGCCACTGCTAGGGCCGGGGGCCGCCGCTGACGGCGCAGGTCTGGTCGGGAGTGGCCGCGGAGGCGGAGGGGCGCGGGGGGAAAGGCACCGAGAGCGCGGGGGGCCGCCGTCCCGGTGATGAGCGTCTGAGGCGGAGCCGCGCGGCGACAGGTGGCGGCGGCTGCGGGACGTCGGTGCGACTGCACGGCCTGGCGCGGGTGGGGGGGCCTTGCCCTCCCTCTCACCGCGCTTCTCTCGCCGCTGCCCGCGAGCGATCGGTGATGGCGGAGCGGCTGCCGCCGGGAGCCCCCTCGGTGATTTTTTGTCAGGACTCGCCGAAGCGCGTCCTGGTCTCCGTTATCAAAACCACCCCGATCAAACCCTCCCCGGCGTGGGGCGGGGGCGAGGAGCCGATGCCCGTCCCGCCGGTCCCCACCAGCCCCGGCTTCAGCGACTTCATGGTCTACCCGTGGCGCTGGGGCGAGAACGCGCACAACGTGACCCTCAGCCCCGGGGGCGGCGACAGCACCGCCGGCCCCTCGGCGCTGCCGCCGCCCCGCGGGGCCGCGGGCAGAGCCCCCGCCGGGGACGAGGAGCCGGCGGAGAGCGGCGGCCGCCACCGGCACCGCAAGGTGAGTGCGGGGAGGGGGAACCCGCGCGCGCCTCCCGCGCCTCCGCCCGGGCGTTTAAAGGGAGGCACTTCCGGCAGCGGGGCGCGCCCCGGGGCAGAGCGGGATGGGACGAGGTCGGATCCGATCGCGTCCATGGAGAACGCCCGTCCTCTGCCCTCCCAACGGCAGGGCCGTGCCCAGCTCGGGGCTTCTCAGGGATAGGGAGCTCCTGCAGCGGGCCCAGCACGGGCTGCGAGGGTAGTCAAGGGACAGGAGCATCTCTCACACCGGGAAGGGCTGAGGGAGCCGGGCCTGTTCAGCCCTGAAAGGAGACGCTGAGGGGACCTCATTAAAGTGTGTAAATACCTAACGAGGTTGACAAGAGGACTGAGCCAGGCTCTGCCTGTGATGCCGAACAACAGCACAAGGGGAACGGGCAGAAAGTGATGCACAGAAAGTTCCACCTGAACATGAGGAAGAACTTTCTTACCGTGTGGGTGACCACACACCGAACAGGTTGCCCAGAGAGGGGTGGGGTCTCCCTCACTGGGGATATTCCGGAACCCTCTGAACACAATCCTGTGCCGTGTGCTGTGGGATGGCCCTGCTGGAGCAGGGAAGTTCGACCAGATGACCCACTGTGACCCCTTCCAGCCTGCCCCTGGTTTTGTTGCCAGTTCCTCCCCGTGTTCCTGAGCGTGTGGTGGAGCACTGGCAGTGCCTGGCAGCTCCCCTGCTGCCACAGCCCAGCCACCAGGAGCAAGCTGGGGATGGGCTGGACCTGGTCTGGGCTGGTTCTGTGCTGTCACGGCACCACTGTCACCATCCTCAGTGCCGTCACTCCGGGGCGTGCTGTGCCTGTTGGCCACGCTGCAGAGCGAGGAAGGTGCTGGAGTTTAGTTCCCTCGTTATTTACGCCCAGGATGGGATCAAACGTGGTCGGCCGAGAGCAGACACCGTCCGAGACCTGATCAGTGAAGGAGAGCACTCCTCCAGCAGGATACGCTGCAATATCTGCAACAGGGTCTTCCCACGAGGGAAGTCACTGCAGGCCCACAAGCGCACTCACACGGGTGAGTAAAAGGGAGGGGTACATTGCTGGGCTGAGCGCTTCGGGAGCACCAGAGAAGGAGTTAAAACCCTGCAAACAAACCACAGAGGAACCTCCCAACACTTGGCCTGTTAATATGTTATTGTAACTACTAATTTAATCATACTTTACTTCCAGTGCTTGTTAGTCACTCACAGTCTTTGTAGCTGTGTTTGTCGTGGTGAAATGTAGCAGCAATTTGGGCTGTAATAGTGTAGGCAAATTACAGAAATATTTTATCTGTTGCAGTTGCAGACCTGCTTTGTAAGAGGGAGAACTTTTTTTGAGCTTGGTAGGACTTTGTATTCTGACTACCTCTTCTCTGTTATTTTTTCCCTGTTGCTGTTGTGTTTTTCACACTGCATTGAAGTTTCCTGTAAGAAGTTACAGTAACTTAGAAAGTAGATGGCAACTTCAGCACTGTAACACCCTAGAAGTGTAGTTTAAATGTTGAGAAAAGAGTCCACCTGCTTAAAATTAGCACCCAGTTGTTTTTTCCCACCATCTAGAATTCATTTTCTTGGGTGGAGGTGGTCATACTAATTCTCTGAGCAGTATTTAGAAGGCAGCTTGCAGTTAAGTGAAAATGTAGGATGAACTCATTCAGCTGGGCTTGGAGATACTGTTGGTTTAGGTTTTTCAACCAAGCAAATACCTTTTTTTTTTTTTTAATTCATGGTTCAACAGCATTCTGTATTTGCAATAAAGTGTGAACTAATGTAGCTCACAGTACAGACACAACCATCAGCACTCCCCCCAAGCCAAGCAAACAAAAGCCCACAAAAACCTTGGCTCCCGCCTTCGCTTCTTCTGATTCAAGTCCCTACAACTAATCTAGATAATGAAATTAAACAGCAGTTTCCTCATGGGTTTTGGTCAAAAGACATTCTTTGACTTGGTTGTACAAGCTGTTGAACTTGTAAGAACTTCTTACCTGAGCAGAGCTGGTGTCATTCCTCCGAGTCACCTCTGTTTGGTCTCCTTCCTGAGGAGACACTTGCTGCCTTGTTTTGTCTGGTTGCAGTTTGCATAGAGAAGTCTTCCTTGGTGACTGTTCTAAGAAAACTTTGTTGACTTAAGTCTGGAATAAGTTTCTCATGCAGCCTCCATTGTTATGACTTTTCTCAAAAGTGAGACTTTCTCCTAATGAGATATTTCTGCAACCTCCTATGTTATTTTAATGTTGACCTCAAGTATTTCACCCTAGTTCAGGCTATGTTAAGGATAAAATTTCTCTGGTTACAACTTGAATTACATCACTTGTCCATTTACTTCCTATATTTCTTGCTCTATAGGGGTCCATAGTTTCACTGGACAAAGCTTATGTGGTGTTATCTAAGAGTCTTAAATCAGAAAACGTGACAAGGGAAAAATTTTTTTTTTTCCTCTCTGGAAATAAGTATATTGTCCAGTAGCATAGAACATGTACTTCAGAGTAAACCAGGACTTCTTAAGTAGTTGCAAGTGTCTGAGTGGCTAAAAGGAGAGCTTGCTTGTGTAAGTCTCATGGCCAGGGATCACCACTGGGTACTATGACACATAGTCAGCTTTCATAAATCTCTGTTCATTATTTTTAAGGTGAAAGGCCCTATTTATGTGACTACCCAGATTGTGGGAAAGCCTTTGTACAGAGTGGGCAGCTCAAAACTCACCAGCGTCTCCACACGGGAGAGAAACCATTCGTCTGCTCAGAGAATGGTGAGTCATCAGAGAACAATTTGCAGCTTTCTAGGGTCAGACCAATACTGGAATTGTATACAAGTTCACTAGGCAAAGATACATAAAAGCCTTGGAGTTTAATTTTGGCTGAACTTCTGGGGTGATTCTGCAAATATGTATCTAAGTTGCATATGTTCTCTGCCAATAGATACTAACTTATAAAATGACGAGACATGTTATGAAGCTTGCAACTTTGTTTTCAACCAAACCTAGGGTTTTGTGAATGAGGAAGGTTGGGTTCAGTGGCATCTTCATTCCACAGATGTTATGCTTAGTCACTGGTTGGCTGCTTTCCATAACGTGTTCTTCGTTTTTGCTTGGTGTTTTTAAGGCTGTTTGAGCAGATTCACACATGCAAACCGTCACTGCCCAAAACATCCCTATGCCCGGCTGAAGAGGGAGGAGCTCACAGACAGGCTGACCAAGAAGCAG